ACAAACAGCGTCTGCATGACTCTGTGGTGACCTGCAGTGACCTGCAGTGACCTTTGTTACGGGTCACCTGCTCAACCAGGTGAGCTACATCCAAATGAACTTTAAGGCATTTTTAAGTCGATAAATCTTACTGACAATCTAATCTGTGTTAAACATCTAAAAGATTTGCTGTAAATTTATAACAGAAAGTTGTATTAACTCACCAGTCAATCAGATAGAGGTCAGGGGTCAGGCTGTTGGTCTGGAAGTGGCTGAAGAGACGAGGAAGATTCTCCTCGAAGAAAATCTCAAAGGCTGCAAAATACTTCAACATCTGTCAGAAACGGAGAGAACAAAGAGGAAGAGGTTTTAATTTTTCAGTTTTGTGTGTGTAAGTGTAAATCTTTTTCTTTTTTTCTCACACCCCCTCTGAGTTCTTCAGGAGGTTTCTGAGTTTTCCCTCCTCCCTCTTACGAAATATCACAAAGACTGCGTACCAGTTCGTGGTCGACTCTGAAGAAGGCCATCTGACAGGGTTTATTGAGCAGGTTGGCAAAGGTGATGAAGGCCTCGGCCTCCTCCAGGTTGAGGATGAGCACGGCAGCGATGAAGGACATGCCCTGCACCTGAAAGTCCACAGACGCTTCGGTTTCGGATCAGTCTTAACGAGATTTTTAAATATTCGGTAACAGCTGCCATAATGCTTTTACTCACATAGCCAATGTCAGGCCTGTAACACGTGTAGGCACCCAGCACGCTGTGGAGGAGGTCGTGGTACGGACCGCCCTGCAGGAGGAAGACACAGCAGACTTTCATGTGAGACACAGATGTGATTGACAAGTGCAAAAACAAATGTCTGAAAGTCATCGTTGCAGAAATCAAACTGCTGCATTTGCTGCTGCAGGGCTGCAAACCTGACTGGTCGTCTGCCTGCTGTGTTTACCTTCTGGAAGATGAAGAGCGAGGGGAAGGTTCTGGAGATGTCTAGTTTGATGAGATCCAGGCTGGACTCTCTGTCGGCCAGAGATGCTCCTCCATCTAACGGGAGAAACACACAGAAGTCGTTTTGAAACCTTCAGAATGAAGTTTTCAGTCGCTGAAACTGGAGCTGTGAGGGTCAAAGAGAGGAGGTGCGTCGTACCGCTCTCGCTGTCGTTCACCGAGCTGGTCTCGCTGTAACTCCTCCACTTCTCTTTGGCTCTGGAGAGGAAGATCTCATAGAGCTCTGCAGCGAGACAAAATTAGACTCTGCAGACTCAATCGGCAACTTTTAAAGGTTAGAGTTTCAGTTTTTATGCAAATCCATCGTTTTGAATCTCTTTGAGCCTCAGTCACAGTTTTGTGTGCAGAAATTTTTTACCATGCAATCAAAATTAAAAGTGTGCAACGTCCAGCTGTGTTCTTCCCACTGTGCAAATGTTTGAACCAGAATCTAAACTGAATGTCTCAATCTGCACGCCTCCATCTCTCCATATAAGAGAGCACAGATTAGCGTTCCTGTGGGACTCGTGGTGGTTTGAATAAACAGCTGCAGTCACTGCAGCATTTAAAAATGTACTTAATATTTAACAGAAGTGTCAAAAGAGTGTGCAGGATCGTGTGTTTGTACCTGGTGTGATGTTCAGCTCGTTGCCGATAGCGAGGCTCCAAACTCTTCCTCTGACGCTGGGGGGGAGGCCCTGCCACCACAGCTCTCTGACCCGCCTCGTTCCCTTCCTGCACACACACAATGTAAATAAACACAAGCAC